CCCCTCCCGACCACGCTGCTCCGACTTCCCCTCCTCGCCGCCGGGATTGGGGTCAACCCGGTGGGGCTACTGATCCAACAAGGGCTACTAGCCAGCCAGCCAGCCGCCTGAGACTGCAACTGAGAGTTCTGTACACAATAAATCACTTCGTCTGGTGACTTCTGCCTTTTACCTTCAACCTGGGGACTTGGCCTGATGATTCTAGTGCTCTGAGCACAACCACGACTTAGACCGCTACAAAGTACACCACTACACCTGACTACCAAAACCTCACCGTTAGACCTGCTCTACCTATCACGGCTTCAACCTAGATAACCGCTATGCGTATAAGTTATTCTCGGCCGGCCGGGCAGGAACGAAAACGTTTAAATAGAGTTGGTTGAACGCCCGAAAATCTTCTGCAGAAATAACCTAGACACTTACGGAGAACGGAATGGCCCGCGGGAGAAAACCTTTCATATTAATCTAAACCTAACATACTCACAATGATGGCACGTTCCGGTCCCTGTGTACACGGGTTGGCAACCTTCAAAGCTACCGCCACGGGGATTTGGCTGTGACGCACAGTAATCAAAACTTCTTTGGGCTACTACTGTAGTCAATTACTCATGTAGCTGACTAAAAACCATTAAGGAGAAAGCTACGCTGACTAAACTGGCTGTGCAGAACCTATGGCATGGGACGCAGATGAAAGAGCGTGCGAGGCAACAACTGCAGGACGTAGATCCATACATGCTACTCTCTTCTGAGAAGTACACCGCAACTCCCACCTACCAAAATCTCACTGTTACACCTGTTCTGCCTATCCTGGTTTCAACCTAGATTACCGCCAAGCGTATAAGTATAAGTATCCCCCTTTAAGGGTGATAACATCTTAAACATCATCAAAAGACGCCTGCTCGAAACCATTAAAAGAACTTGCTATGCTGCTGAATTCATATTTTTCTCCCCAACGAAGCCCCCAACAATTCCTTGTGCGAAGCATTCCTTACCAGTGCATGCCACCTCAAATTGTGTTTATGAATTTACATGCACTTGCGGATGCAAGTAAATAGAGCGAACGCAAAGGCAATTGGCAGCCAGAGCCAAGGAGCACTTGCCTAGTTGGCTATTCAAACAGGAAAATCGAACCCCTCGTTCCTACATGACAGAACACTTGCTAGACACGGGTCATTCTGTAGACCCTAAAACTTCCATCCGAGTACTTGTTCGAGTCCGAACAACTCATACCTTGTGCTACATGGAGGCAGCCCACATAAGGCGGTCTAAACCTTACCTATGTAAACAGTTGGAGCATGTTATTAACCTAGCCTTGGCTTGGTAACGTTCGGCTCCCAGATTTACACAGTACCGTGTCAATTCTTTCCCTTAACTCCTCTTCCTCTGTTTCTCTTTCCACCTTGTTTTAACTCTCTTACTTTGTCAATTAGCCTTCGTGACCATGTCTTATTACCTTTTGACCTTTCTGTACCAATTTACTATTGCACTTTTCTCATTCGTTACTGTTTAATGTATTGGAGTGGAGGCAGCTGATGAGCTCTCCCGAAATTTCATGGATCCAATAAAGCCTGCTATTTTCGCCATCTACAAATTTAACCTGGGAAACTTTGCTTTAAGTATAAGTTATTGTCGACCAGCCGAGCAGGAATATAAGCTTTTAAATAATTGGCCGAACGACCACAAATCCTTTGCAGAAATAACCTAGACACTTACGGAGAACGGAATGCCCCGGAGGAAAAGATCTTTCACGTTAATGATGGCACGTTTCGGTCCCTGTGTACACAGGTTGGCAACCTTTAACGTTACCGCCACGGGGATTTGGCTGTGACGCACAGTAATCAAAACTTCTTTGTGCTACTACTACTACTACTGTAAGCAATTACTCATGTAGCTGACTAAAAACCATTAAGGAGAAAGCCACGCTGACTAAACTGGCTGTGTAGAACCTATGGCAGAGGATGCAGATGAAAGAGCGTGCGAGGCAACAACTGCACGACCTAGGTCTATGCACGCTGCTCTCTTCCATGAAGTACACCGCTACCCCATCTACCAAACCCTCACTGTTACACCTGCTCTGTCTACCCGATTTAAACCGAAATTACAGGAACAAAAGATGTATAATGGAGTCCGTCGAACGCCCGTGGAATCTTCCACAGAAATAACCAAGACGCGTATGGAAGGACACGTAGGGAAACATATTTTCCACAGTAATCTAAATCTCGCACACTCAAAATAAAAAATTGCCTATCTAATAAATTATTAGGGATTGGAAGATGTGAACAATTCAGTGGACGCAATTGTGAAAAATTCTCGGGCTCGGTTAGATTCGAACTCACATCAGCAAGGAAGGCGTTTTGTACAGCCAACGCTCTACCATCGAGCTAAGAAGGAACGCCAAAGCTTTGAGCTTAATCACATTAGGGTCGATTTAGCCGCCCAGTCTACTGCTCATATGGAATCTGCTCACTGTATCCGTAATGGTGGATTCCGTACGAGCAGTAGACTGGGCTGGTAAATCGACCCAAGTATGATTAAATTCAAAGCTTCTTCATTTCACAAGATGGCAGGACCTCACATTTGTGGCTGTCACATAAACACGAGCTTGATTCTCGGGGCCACCAGTCAGCCACTTCACACACACATGCATACATACACCACCACCAGGCTCGTCAATAACAATACTCAATATGACATTGATCAAAAAAATAAAATCGGCGCACGGTGCAGAAGCAGCATGCCACCAGCTCGGACGCACAACTTTGTCGGAGCCGGGTTTATCGTGGACCGAGTGCGGAGCTTGTCAATGATGTGAAGCAATAAAGCGACGGTCAGCATCAAGAATATCGGCTTTGTAGTCCGATCGCTGCCCGATTATACGTAAAATTTAAAAATGTTGGTCAATTTTCCACCGAAGTAAAGCACCAGTAGAATTGACCGAGGTTCCCGCTGAGACAAATTCACCTGACATAACTGACCATTACGCCCAAAAATTAAAACCTGCACAACGAACTGGGGAAGGGGAGGGGTCTTAAGGGATGAGTTTAACAAACTGCAGCATAGTTGAAAAACAAAATCCGGATCGCGGCTGATGAAACTCTTTAGATAAGGCTTTCTTGTTAGGCCACCTTATGGTAAAAGTTCCCCCGCCCAAGTTTCTTACGGAAATCGTGCTTTAGGGCGTAGGTATTTGCGTATTTAATGCGTGCACAGTAGGAAATAAATTAAAGCCGTTTGTAATTGTTTTACTGAACTAAAATTATATATGTGAAAAGCCCGTGGAAAGAATAAAATCGGCCAACATTTGGTCAGCAAAGGAAGCCTATTGACCCATATAAAAATATTGGAACAACTCCCAATCGTAATCATAGGCGGAAATTCGACCTACTGAAAATATGGAAGTAGTCGGTTATAATTAATTATAGACAAAGGCGGCCTGATTTTCGCACACTTACACTAGGCTCTGAAGGCGAACTCTCCAACATCTGGCAGAGGGCGCGGAGGAAGCTAAACATGGCGATGATACGTCCCCAGTTGATTTGCTGCGCAAACAACTCATGCAGCACTGTGCGGTAATGAAGACGCGCCACGCTCAACATCATCTCCGGCGAGTGCGGGGTCGAGGAGGGGGAGAGCGAACCAGACTGGAACTGCATAAAGGGGAGGGAAAACACACTGAGAGATAATACTACCTCTCGAATAAATCCCCTTGCAGGCCGAGACACCACTGGTTTTATACACACACACACTCAAAGTTCTCAAGAGATAGGAGAAGCAGGCAAGGGTTTCCACGCATTGAGGAAGACATGAATAAAGGAGATTGCTGTTTAAGAAAACCGGCAAAGGTAGTTTAAGTAGTGAATAGTATACGTCCCCAAGCCCCAACGTTTTGTTGCACAGGACTGATTTTATTAGGGACTTTTCTGGGTTAAGAAATAGTAGCATAAGCAGTGAAGGAAAGT